AGGACGTTAGGAAGCGGCGTGTACTGCAGAGTATGTAGCTAGAGCCTGCGGCCCTCCACGCCACATACCCTTCGGGAGGTCTGCCGCAAGGGCGGCTGCGCCCTTGCCGCTAAGGCGTTAAATACAAAACAAACAAACAAAACAAACAAACAAAACAAACAAACAAAACAAACAAACATTGTGGTGTGTGTCTGCGTCCAAATACACTGCCAGGTCCGAGGTTAAATGTGCTGCAAGCCGTTTCAGAAGGTATTGCTGTTTCTTTCTATTTACAGTACCTGTTCCATAATCGAAGTTGCTCTCAGTGATGGCGACGGAGAGAATGGTTTGTCACGCAGAAGATGCGGAGAGAATGAGTCGTATCCGTCAACAGACAAAAGAGACTTGACGTACGAACAGCTCGACTCCAGGGGCTGCAGCGACTAGCCTCAGCAAAGATAGTCAAATTACTTGGATCATGCGCTGCGACCCGCTAGCTTTTTTTAAAGTCGTGGTCGTTGGTGCAGTGCACAAGCACTCAGGTATGCGGACGTTGTGCCAGTGCCGTGGGATGATCGGGAAATGTGTGCCAGGACTTCTTGCTAGGCCTTGAAAGGTGACTGATGTTCATTTTGCTAGGCATGGCCTATAAGTGACCTGCTTCCAAGACTCTCCTTCACCATCTCAATGTCCCCCGAAAACACTCCATCGCCTTGTTCCTGATTTCTCGACTTCACCGTCAACGCATTGCCGTTCACCACCTCCGGTGTCCGTCTGCGCTTGTTTGGCCCAATCTGCGTCAGTGGACGCCGAGGCGGTGTCAATAGCTGCGCCCTTTCAAAGTCGACTATTATGACCCCTTCAACTTCCTCATTAAACAGCATGTCTCTGTGCACAACACCCTGGTAATGGATCGCACGCAACGACCGCATCGCCGTCTCTTGTAGGTGTCCATGTCTACCGTCTATACTCCTTATCGCGGAGAGACCATGTCCTCCCCTCCCCACAACAGAAATGTCATGTGCACCACGTAGACTCGGTGGTCGTAATAATAGGTCCTGTTCAGCCGCCGAAGGTCAATCGCCCCAAGAAACACAGGCACATGTATACCTTGGATAGGCCGTAGACGCTCGTAAATCGCTGCCTCGTGCTCAAGGTCTTCGATGAATGCCCGCACCGTGCCCTTGCTGACGAAGGTGTAGCCGTATGCAAGTAGGCTTATTTTGAACAAGACTCCTCGCGCGCCGCCTTGTCCCAAAGGTGTAACACCGTCGTCTAGTGTGCGCTCCAGCTGCTCTCCGAGAAGCTTCAGGAAATTAGTGTGGTCGATTGGATGACGAGTTTCTGCGCGGCCACTGCCGTGGTTGTGGCGGCGGTCATCTCCCGGCTTCCTGCCGTGAAGGAGAGTATTCGGACATCCTGGATCGAGCACGCCGCCTCTGACGAGCCCTAGCAAGCATTTCTGCGTGCAATACGGCCTGTGTCCATTCTTGCTACACCTCCCTTCACTACCACCTCGCGGCCGAAGCGCTAGAAGTCGCTGACTGCGTCGGGTTCCTTGGCTATCCTGACCGCCCTGGCTCTGAGGGTTCCTTCCGCGAGCCCGCCTTTCCGTAGGCGTGGGTGTGGCTGGCATGTTCCATCTCGACTCGTCATCTGATGATTCAGATGATTCATTCGGGTCCTTCGTGACTTGCTCCCTTGTATGCCGGTCCCTCGCATGTCCTCGCCTTGTCTTTCGGCGCAGGCACGGAGATCTGTCGACATTCTCGTATGCCTTTGGTTCTATCCCGGCGAGCTCTCCGGTGGCTGCCTTTCACCATCTGGAACGGACCGCAGCGTCGTCTCGAAGTCTTCCGCCCACGTCTTCAGATTGTCCATAGCTTCGCGCCGCTCATCTTGCCCATGTGGCGATCGTTCGTCTGGCATACTCAGAGCAATCAGACTGAAGGCCAGATACTGGGCGACTGCCGCCTCCGCAGACGGCTCTGCAAGATGATAGAAGAGTGTCTCAGGCCCGCGCCAGTTAATCATCAAGAAGACGATTGCCTCGCCCGTCGTGAGCAGGCCGTGCTCGAGTCCGCCTTCGATCATGTAGTGATAGGTTTGTGTGATGGCGGCGGCCGTGAGTCTCTCTGCATTATACTGGAGCCGGGCATCTGGGTCGACTGACGTGGGGATCGTTTTTCGGTTGATCACCTCCTTGTATATGTTCATCGGGCGCAAACCGAGGCGAAGATGCGGCGCGGTAAGTTTATGCGGGGGCTTGTATTCGGAAACGTAGAGCATCGTGCGACTTTCCAAACCGGCAGTTTCGGAGCGGTAGACGCAGATCTGATCGGCTCACAGCTGTTTGAGGTCGACGGTGCTAGTATGCGGTGTAGAGGGGGGTGTCGATGGGACGTTGCGGTCAACGACCTCCTCGGCCGTGTCACTGATCGCATGCGGGTGGTTCTCGAAGACGATACCGTTTCCCAGATTGAAGGCGCTTTTTACTTCTCTCACCTTCTTGAGTTCGTCCATGATCGCTCGAACAGGGTGCTCGACGCTGTTGTGCAGGAAGGGCTCGAGGGCCTTCTCGTCGGTGATTTTGCGTCTCGCGATCCTGCTCCCCAAACCAGACAGGAACGATCGGCTCTCGAAACAGCGCCTATCGGAGGGAAAAGTGTCGTAGAGTGTGCCGAAGACGATGCGCTGTTGCTGCAGGAAGTCGGGCCACGGCTGGAGATTGGTCGGGCACCACTTGTGGCGTGGATTTGTGATGAAACCCTTGGAAGTCAGTCGACGGTCGGTTTCGACGGTCAATTTGCTGTAAACGAGAGTATGACAGGCAGCGATGTATTCGTCGAGCGATGTAGGTTTGGTCTGTTGCTCTGCCTCGTCGGCACGCAGTTGTTTTGCCTCGGCGCGCCGTCGTTCTTGTTGTCGATCTCTCTCTGCTGCCTCGGCGCGTTGTTGTTCTGCCTTGGCGCCGTCGTTCTTGCTGTCGTTCTCGCTCCGCCGACTTAGCTCGTTCTTCGGCTTGCCGCAGAAGCCTCCTCAATTCCTCGACGCTTCTTGATTCACCCATGATGCCTGAAATTGATGTTCTGATAACAGCCGATTTCTAGCACTGTCCTTCAACGAGAGGCGAGGGAAAGTGTGGGTTTTAAGTAGCCAAACCATTCAACTGGATCCTGTTGCGTTGCTACGGGCTACACTACCCATGCAGAGAGGGAGTCAATGCACAAGCCATGCCGAACAAGCTCACTGACAGATCGAAAATGGGACCCACAATTGCCTACGCAATTACATCGTTCGAAAGCCAATCATCGGCTGCTGGCAAAATCAACTTAGTCACCAGGACAGCCTGAGGGCCACTGTTTGCTTCCACATACAAACTGTCAGACAAGGCTATCCGAGTATGGATATGTCAGGCACAAGGATTGAATATCTAGAGTATGCATATAACACCTATATCTCCGGATATTCCGATGTCGGATTCCAACGAGAACACACCGACTTTTTCTTTTATCATCATAATGGTCATCATCATGATGGATTGATCAATATATACGCTCATTCAATTATCCTCAATGTTGACTGCCTCACACACACTCTTGTGACACAAATAGCGTCAGCTTCGAGCACGCGCCCACATACTCGGGTTTACTTATCAAGCCGCGAAGCTCAGCCAAAAGCAGCTGAGCTTTGACGGAATACCCATTCGAATCCTGGAAACCGGAGCCCAGTGGTTATTGCGACTGCGAAGATCCATGAGGCCGGGCAAGCTGGAGGAATGGACAAGTGATACCATCTCTGATCGGGAAAGGTCGCCCACGGAAAAGATAGGAGGCAATGGGATGATGGAACAGAGAGCGGAGACGAGCAAATCAGCCCCAAGGCAAGAGAGGGGCCCACCGAAGACGCGACCAACTGCACATCGCACTACTGTCCTGGCTATTTCCTCAGATGCAAGAGATAGGTCAATCGTCGTTGCCGCCTCGTTCTTCTCCCACGTCTTCGTACCCCGCGGGAGGAGGCTGCGAAGCGAGTACTCACTCATCAGATCGATAATCGGGTCCGCCTCGCCTTGCCTGTCCTCCGACACACTTTCGCCTGCCCACAGATAGTCGTGGCGATTGAAGTCTCCTACCAGGATGACATCTACCCTTTCGCCTGTTCATCCTCGAACGTTCGTGATGGCTTGCCTCAGCAAGTCACACGCCTGTCGAAGCATCTGCGGGTTCTGCACCGGCACATACACCGACGCCACCAGCAGTCTTCGGTCCGGAAGCCGGACAACGGCCGCCGTGATGTCCGGCGATGCTATGCGCAGCTGCTCTGCCTCTATGTCTCTGTTCACCCACAGCAAACTCCTGATCCCCCATCTTCCTTCGTCCCTCCACTCCGTCGGTACCATCCTCGTCCATCTGCTATGTCCCATCGGAACAGTAATGACCTTACCTTCTGTCCTCCGCGCCCACGGTTCCTGCACCGCTATGGCCGTGAAGTCACGCAACGCCTCGTCATTCATCAAACTCTCATGCACTGCAGCCTGTTCCTCACGTTAAGCTGAAGAATCTGGACCTTCCTACTCATGGGAACGCGGATACAGCTTCGGACAGTTCTTGCTGAACGACTCATGCGGTCCGCCACACGGCACACATTTCACGATCGTCTCACAGCATTCACTGTGATGGTGGCCTACCTTGGCGCAGCGCCCACACACCTGGGGGTTTTCGCACTGGTACGCCTTGTGCCTGGTAATCTGCTGGCAGTTGTAGCACTGTTGAGGACGTGGCCGCCGCTCAAACGCCATCGTCGTGCCGGACTCCCCTCCGACGTAAAAGAAGCCCTCGGAGATCAGCCTACACGCATCCCTGGCCTTGGTCACGAACACGACCATGGACCCATACGCCTTGGGCATGTCTTTCTTGCTAAGCCAGGATATCTTGGCAACGTTGGTCTCGTTTTCTCGGCTAAGTGCCTCCGCCGCTTCAGCCCTGACATTGCCATTCTCATCCAGTACCTCGGTTCTCTTCACGTTATCGATCTTGACGGGATAGAGTTCGTCCTGTAGGACTCGTGTTCTAGGGCCGAAGCTCTTCTCCGCGATCTGCTTGACAAGCTTGTGCTCATCATCGTCGCGACAAATGATCCGGATCCTATCCGCGTTCCTTGGGTCTACCGTGATGGCCCGACAGCGCCGGCTTGCCTGCCCGTCCATCGCGCGCATCTCCTTCTCCACCGCGGCCCGGATCCGACCTGCGTTGGGCTTGTCGCTGCCTTCTTCAACTCTTGATGTATCGATCGTACAGAATAAGGGGTTGCTGTGGCTTGCCACCGTCGCGTTCTCCGGCGTAACTACCCGCGAGTTGCGGCCTTGTCCAGCGGCCTTGTCCACCCAAGCCACTTCGCGCGACATCCGCGTATGACATACTTGGGCTGTTCCGCGTCGCAGCCACCGTCGCGATTGCTTCGAGGTTCTCGTTCGTCTTGGCGATTTCATCCTCCATGCGTTCTTTCATCGCTTGTAGCTCTCCTTTGACGGCCTGTAGCTCGTTCTTGACTGTTTGCAGCTCCGCAGTGACCACGCGCAGCTCTGCCTCAATGTTCTTGTTCCATGTTTCCGACTTCTTCCACGCATCGAACATGATCTTGACCGCTGCGTGTAGCTCTTTGGTCTGCTTGGCCATCGTCAGGAGCAGCGGTGTATCGCCATCTTGGGCGGGTTTCGCGCGTTCCTTGTCCAGGGTTGCGGCGCGTGTGGTCGCCGGCCGGCCACCGCCAGCAGTCTCGGTCGCTCGCTCGATCGCATTTTCGGTAATCTCTTGGTATGTCTGGTTCAGGCGTGCTTTCGCGGATGGTTTCGCACCCTTCGTGATGGCAGGTCCTCGTCGCACGCTACCACCACCTCCCTCGCAACGGTGATGGACGTCGAATTTGGCTCGAGATCCATCGCGTCGGGACGTGCGCAGAGTCGCCACGCGGTGGATCGTGCTAGTGCCACGTAGCGCGTTTCGGAGCGTCTCAACGCTCAATCCAACAACGTCGTATAATTCTTTACACAAACAGATGTTGAAAATTGCTTCGTCCCCTTGCGTTACATACAGAGGTTCGCAAAACTGGTCTTCTATGACTGATACACTCCTGGAACGGCTTAGCTACACTGCAGGTGGCAGGGGTACCTTGACAGAGACCATGCCACATTAGTTCACGGAGCCCGACATGACTGATTAAACAAATCGCTGACAGCTGGCCTTCATAATAGACAGTCATCATGACACAAGCCAAAAAAAAATAGCTGATTGTGTGCGTTCAAAGCAAACCGTCAGCGGCAAGCGGCTTCCTCCCACTTATGAGCCGCGTTATAGAGTTATCGTCTTATCAGAGCGGCCATTTCATCCAAGCAGTAAGCGGCTTATGGCACCAGCAATATTTTAATATTATGCCTCGTTTGGAGCACCAATCTGCCCTAGGATGTCCGTGATGGTGTTGTTCACGTTGAGATTAAATCTCCGTTTGGCTTCCGAGGGGTCCATATTGGCGCACAATGAGGTATGAAAACCTGCCTTTAGAGGCAGTCTGCCGTCAGAAGTAGGTTGCTGCGTTGCCGTGAGAGACGATGCTGCAGGCGCTGGACTGCTTCCCTCGATCGACTCAAGATCAGGCCAGGTATCCCAATGAAATTCCGAAGGAGAATCATTGCAAGCCATCGTCACGAAGTAGCTCGGACGAATGGTGGCAATGACCTCTGACGCCTCCACCGAGATGCGGGAGAAGGACAGGTAAGGATTGACGCGTCAGGCAGCAGGCGACACATGGCCTCGGCTGGGCCTTTGCCAAAAGTAGCTAGTCTGCAAAACCCATGACCTAGCTCATCTTACTTGATACGGCACCCACTCCACAGTTCCACGCTGTCCCGCACTTTTGTGTACCATGTGCACCCTCTGAAGCTTAATCAATAATTAGCCCATAATCGTCTCTGGTTCGGGTCGGGCCGTATCGTCCCATCATGGAACGTTTGAAATATTGAGGTCCAAAACCTTGTCTGTTGCCAGTGCCTTTTTCGATATCCCTTGATATGTATGGTTCTTCTTCAATGCCGACTGCCGATCTGTGCATGCGGATACTCACGATAACGAGTTCTTCAATTAATCCTCGTCTTCTACAATGTGGCGGTATGTCACCGAGAAACCGAGAACCAAGATTTGGCTTGGCAAGCATGATGAGACAGTTGGAGTGAGCTTAAATCCAGCATCCAAGGGGCGCACAACTTGCGCGCTGCTCTTCGTCGGGATTAGTAACAAACAAAGGAATGTCCCTGACTTTAAAGACAAACTTGGCACGATGAACCGATTTGATATTGTGCCGCTTGAATGACGAGAAACGCTATTGCTATGACCCCTGGGACATGCACCCATGTGCCTTGCCCCAGCGGCACTTCAACAACTTCACCTCAAGGCCGCCTCTTCAAGACCTGAAGGGCGATTTGTACGTGAGAGCTGATTTTGATTTTGCACGTATGGAACTAATAGCGATCTTGGGACAGCATGCATGTGAATGTGATTTTAATGGAACCAAGAGGATGTACGACAGATTTGCTATGAAGGTTAACCTGACAAGAACCGGCCAAAGTTTTGGGTCCGATTGAATTACCTGCATCGATGCTACGACACGAGATATCCTGCCACGTCGCAGATGCAACACACACCAGCGCGGTAGTTGACACTGACAGACGTTCGTAAGTGTAAGGGGCTGGCCCCTAGGCTTGTTCAACGTAGAGGTGCCGTCGATTGACTATTCTAAGCTGAAGAAGGAAGAAAGGACTTTACAAGGGTAGGCACCTAACAGCGGTGAAGCAGGCCGGGTTAGGCGGCGTACTGCGG